TCGTGATCAAGATTCTAAATATTCTTATTCCACAATCAACATTTGTGCACAGCATCCAAGATCGATTGATGTAATCGAAACATCGCCTTAGGACATGTTAGATCATTTTGCACTCCCATAACTGGAATACAATGGTTGCGATGGGACATTGTTTTTGTTTCTTGCTCGATTCAAATGCCGTAACAACATTTTACATATAGGCTATTGTGTGCCAAGGTCATCAACAACGGTTTTTGCTGCAAAGCTGTTTTGATACTACGAGTACATGTTTTAATTGACATACATATTACTTATGTTGTATTCTGTTCAACCGTTTATTTCTTTAATCGTACAATAGTGTCTTCTAATTTTAAAACTCAAATACTGTTACATTTTTTTCATCCACAGATTATTTTAAGCATCTATCCTGCATAATCTTTTTAAATAGAAATTTAAAATATAGTAATTTTGTATACTAAGATTTTTTTTCTTTGAATTTAAATACACAAAGACGCTCAAATTATATTTCTTTTTGGTGAATTCTACTCTAAAGGTTTTTTTTTATTTGTCTACTAAGAAAATAGCGTTGGATTAATAAATAAATAATTACAATTTGGTTAAGAATCTTTTGTTCTCAGAATCAAATGAGCAGAATTGAGATTTAAAGGCGTTCATTAATCTTCTGGATCCAAGCATAACATTTTAGATTTTTTTCAACTGATTTGAAAATTTAAAAAAGTTTGGCCTTATGGGTTGCTAAGTAACTATGTTGGTTGAACAAAATAACAAGGAAAAAGTAAAAAAAGTCTTGTAAGATGTGTTTATAACAAGCCATCCACGGTATACTAGCAAACTATAATAAACAGTACAAAGGGAAAACAGCAGTTGTTAACTATTGAGCAATTATTACACTGAAAAGTAGTTCCGATCAAATACTGAATATTTTACTTGGCTCTCTCCTACCAAAACTAAACACTATGAGGCAATTAATTGTTAGCAAACTTTGATTTAACAGTGGAATGACAATTTAATATTATTATATTTATTTTATGTAAAATGTCAGCTGTTTTAACTTACAACCTGTCAAAACAATGTTTATGAAAGTATAGGATATTATAAACTAGTGAATTTTACCACCAACTGTAAAATAAATTAGTTTATTATGGATTGTGAAGTAAAAATTTCCTTCATAAGAAATTGAAATTCCACTGAGCCTTAGATAAATAAAAACTGAAATAATTTGTAAATACAGCGTGAGTTTCCTTTATATTGCTTTTACAATAATGTAAACTATACTGAGCCATGTCTCGGTCCTTGGGTACTTAAATATAAACAGAGGGAATAATACATCGTTTTTAAATTTATCAAGGGGATCAATCAATATTTAGGTGTATATCTCTACTTCGAAACTTATGACATCCAAGGAGCGTGTCTCAGTAGATTTGTATAAAGTGAAATAAACTATATGTCAGCCTATTTCATAGTATATCTTTTTGTAAACTATCATTCCAGTCATGGTGGTTTTCATATTCACCGGAAATAAACAAATAAATACAAAAATGTACAGACAAACTTTAAAAAACCTCTATTGTTTCATGATTCTGTAAATGAATATGGTCTGCATTAAAATTGAAGGAGAACTCAGAGAAGTGGTTTATTGAAAGGGCTATGTAAACTGGTGACGGACTGGCAAGCTTTCTCATGTGTACTTTGTTGAAAGAATACACATCCCGTGTCCACAAGGCGACAGTGTAGACAAACATGGTCCTGTGTAGGATTACGTACCTAAGCGATATCACCTTTCACTTAATATCTAATAATGTTTCACTCAGTTCTCTACCTCTGGCATAAAAGGTTTGCATTTCTGCAGTTCATAGTATCAAATGTTTCCGTTGATCTAAAGATTGCTATGGATTACCAGCTATAAAATTATAGTTTGGCAAAACTTATTTAAGCTCCTTACTTATTGTTGTACGTGTTAGTATTTATTGTGTATTAAAATATCTTTCAGCTTCAGGATCGAACTTCGATTGTCATTGGATCGTAATTATTCAGATGACAAAAAATCATTCCAAAACAATCCACAAATTGCTAACCCTTTTCGAAGTTGTGTTACTAAACACACCAGTTCACGGAGTAATTCCTGGACAGTTTCCAGTAATAGAAACTAGTTACTGTAGGGGCATTGCGTGCGGTGACAGTTCGAAGTGAAGAAAGAGTGAAATCCGCCGATGGAAACCTGCGGAAGTCTAAGTCATTTGTTCATATTTTTCAACTTATACAATAGTTTTAACAGATTGTTCAACATAACAGCTGATTTAACAACTTATGTAATTGGTTCTTTTGCAACCACGAACATTTGCATAAACAAACATGTGATTAATAGTATATTTCGCACCTAGGGCCGAAAACGAGGTTTTTCCGGCTCGAGATAGTTTTAAGTTTGAGACGAAGTCGAGAACTTAAATCGATCGAGAGCTGCAAAACCATTTTCGGTCCGTGGTACGAATACTATTTTTCACCACACTACTACTATTCACAATAATAATAATGAACTGATAGTCAACGAAACTTTAAGGTTATGTGAAGAGGTAATTTCAGGAATCGGCAAAAATAATAATAAACAGTTGCTAGGCAACGGTGAAAATAAATCAATTCTATTTCAATGCTATGGATACTGTTTGTGTAATTAATATGCAAGCAGACAGCTGATTTTGCGGCCCCGGGATGTAAAAACCTGCTCGGTCCCCAAATTACGATGACAGCTGGCATGACCAGCAAAACGTAACTTTCAGCCACCAATTAACGTATGTAATACAGCCAAAAAAATCATAGTGTGGTGAAAAAAATTTTAAATTGAAATCCACAAGCTCGTCTCAGTCCACATTGAGACAAGTCAACTCGCGCATACACTACTCAATACGATGGTGGTCTACCATTGTGTTGTTTTTTTGCGTTGGCGCAAAAAGGCTTTTCCAAAGTCTTCTGTGAGAAAAAAAAGCATCCATATGTATTTCCATTACACCAAACCTAATAAACTAAACTAGCTTACTTTTTTCATTTCAAGGTATTTGCCATGGATAGATCATTACAATTAAATCTTTACAGTGCAGTATACAATACCTGTTTAAATAATTACAGTAGCTCCAAAATAAAACGTTTTTCTCTTCTGTTGCATAATAGGGGAACCCAACAACTACTTACTGATGAAGTTTGAAATTACAATTGTGTACAGATTCCGAACAAATCATTTTCAAGGATAACAAATTCGAATATTAAAACATAAGTTTACTGTGATTTCTAATTGCTTTTGTACAGTAACAAAACATATAATCAATTAAACCGAGTGTGGAACTTTCTCCCCAATTAAATTTGCAGATATATAACAATACATGAAAGTCCGGAATCATTTATTTTATATTGCAGCAAAACAATTCATTGGCAATTACACGAGCGCTACGTGTAAATTACATTAGCGTTAATCCGCAATAATACCCTTTCTAAAACCCGCATTTTACAACGTGTGGATTTATAGCATTGGACCTCTCATGCTGAAAATTATAGTTATTGATTTGCACTGGCGCAATACATAGTAAGTGGATTCTCGAGAACTGTTCGGAAATTCCATACTTAACTTTTGAAAACGCTTGCTAAAAAATCAGGAATGCAATTTTTTAAGGTCAAAATGTGAAATTATAACCCAAACGGAACAAACAATTGGTTGAAATATGCATGTTAATTCGATTGAAATGTCTAAAACCAGTCTTTCCAATAGCGACAAGGGGAGTATTGGATAAAAAGTGTTGGATTCATTACAATTACTCACCCAATCAAAATTATATTCTAAGACTTTGGCTAATGAAACAAGGTTTACTTTGAAATATCAAGTACGGTTCCGTACTGGGACGTGGCTGATGTATTGGTTAGACCACAGCCACAGGTTGCAATTCTGTTCTGGCTGGAGGCCCGGGTTAAGTATATTGGCTTTTGCCTATGTGATATTGCCGGGACCAGACGATTCTGTGCCTAGCACAAACTGCGGGTATAGATATCAATAACACAAAGATAAGTCTAGCATGAGAGGTAAGAAGTCCCTGTCTTCACAATAATTGTCTTCAGATAATAATGTCTCTTCACAATAATTGTCTTCAGATAATAATGTCTCTTCACAATTTTTGTCTTCAGATAATAATGTCTTTTCACGATAATCTAAATGACAAGTCTTTGCTCTGTGTATTCAACATAATGTTTTTCTTTTGAACTGTATTTTTTAATTTTTTTAATAAGCAAGTGAATTGCTTACAAGCATGTTTTATGGTATTGTTGTTTAAAATTTTGATGATATTTCGTAGCCTTCTTATCAAAACATGAGACTAAAGTCAAAATTTATTATTTCGATAAAAATATGAGGTAGTGGTTTCATGGCAAAATGAGTTTTCCTAAGGCTGTGACATGGTGAACTTTATGGGGTAAAATTGGGGGTTTCCATTTCTTGCCCTCAAAACATTATGCGATTCGTTTCAAACTATTCTTTAGAGCTTAAATACCAAAAAAAGTATATTGAAGCGTTGTTGCATGCGTTAGGGTTATGGAAAAAATTGCCACGTTATTCTTATGGAGAAAACCTCTGTCTGTCTGTCTGTGTGTAGTCTTCTGTTGCAGAAAACCTCAGTCCTCTTAAAAACTAATGTCGTTTTAACACGAAATAAGTCTGCCAAATTTAAAGGAGTACTTTAGTACCTAGGCAGGTAAATGGAGATTCGTATTGTCTGCAGCTGTTTACTTTTGATGTTATGTGTACTTAGCCCGGCAAGTTATGTATTTGAACACGCTCTTTAACTTGCAGTATGCCGGAACAAGAATATAGACACATTTTCCTTGATTATAAATTAGCTTCTTGTAAATCAAACTAATTATAATCACCATAAAATCAATTTCAGCAATGCTGTGTCATTGGAGGGGATGCACGCCTGTTTGCCCTTCCATTCTCGATGTCAACAGAATCTCGCAGTCAGTGCGCTCGCCTGGCCTGAGCAAGTTGCCAGCAACATTCCCGAAACGTCAACTTTCGCGCAATATTGTTTACTTTCAGTATCTGTTTTGTAGTTCGTTTCTAGCTGAAACATTATTACCGGTGAGTAAAACCTAGCAATACAAATACTAATTAAAATGTTTTTTGAAATTCAAACTGTATAATGGTTTTAATTTTAAATTACAATTTACGAAGAATGATGTGTTATTTTATTTTACAGTAATAAACCATTTCAAATATTGAATTTGTCACAGTATATGGATTAAAATATTTAAAGGTTTAAAGAAACGACACATTAAATCTGTTTCTAATTTCAATACCATTATATGTTTTTAATAAAAAGGTGTACTTAATCGTTATTTTTCTAAATATAAAACAAGCTGAGCAAGAACTAAATATTTTCAAAATATTTTTATCTTAAATAGGTTTATAAAACATGCTTTAAAAAGGGAAATCCGATAGGATAGATATTTTCAAAACAATTAATTTATGACGTATTCGACAAGTTCTACGTCTCATTCAACAAGCGAACGATAAAACCAATATTTCTTAGAAACAAGACGAAGTTTATGACATTTGATATATTTTATTGAATTCCTATTTAACAACATCTAAGTTTACGGTCGATACCTGATATGAGCATTATTTTAACTACTATAGCAAGGCATGTCCATTTCATACAGTTTAAACCTGTACAGCCATTAACAAATTTGTAATTGAAAATTAAAAAAAAAACTGCCTATATGTAAAACAAATAAGCTACATTATGTCACCAATACAATAATAATTGTATGGAAATCATCTAATTACATTGCTAATAATAATGCTGGGTCGTGAACTTTTTAACATTTTAAAACTAATTGTGTATATTGTTATGTATAACAATATATATTGTTAAATGTATATTGTTTTTCTTTGTCAACTGTCTTCTTTCTTAGTTATTTTTTTATTTGTCAGTACGGGTTATTTGCAATCAATGAATTGTTTTTGATTATGTAAAATGAGACCTTTACAATTGGGTTATCTCCCCCAATGAACGTGTTGTCAGGTAGGTAAAACCAACGAACTATAGTTCGTTGGGTAAAACTTGTGATAGATTTTAAAGCTCAAAACTACAGAATGAAACAAATGCATCTTAATGACTCCAAATAAAAGTATTATTTTGCAGGCCTGAAGCCCGAAGGTAGATATCTCACGTGTACCAAAACTAATATCGCAATGCCAAAACCAAGTGTTTCGAAACCACCAATTATCCTATTTCTGTCGTTCAGTAGAGTGGTTATTAAGAGGTGTGACAAGGTAAACAGCTGAGGATTGGTCTCATTCTCTGCAGCCGACAGAGTAGAAGTATCGGTAATCACCAATCAAGCTCACTTTTACGATCTTTGTCAATTGAAGTAAAAACCAAATCAATTTACGAGCCATAACCCACTTCGAGGCAGAAAACACACTCATCTTAATGACGTCGTCAAATCACCAAGCTAGTAAATTATTTAAACTATTTAGTAAATTAATTAAAATTAGTTAAAAAATTAATTAAAAATTAGTTAGTTAAAAATTTGTTAAAAATTTAGTTATATTAGTTAAAATTAGTTGGTAAAATTAGTTAGTAAATTATTTTTGAGAATAACTACTATAAAACAGCTAAGCAGCTATTGTTATTCATATGTACCGGTACAATATTATGAAACTCTGGAAGATACATAGCTCAAAACTAGACCCAGCTGTCCTTGATCTTGATCAACTATTAAAAAAGTCCATACACAGTTCGGACTGATCTTAGTTAGCAACACAGCTAAGGTACGCATCTCGATTACTCCACAGTCACCTTTCATTCGTACGTTAGTTTAGTCCCCATAACAATATTCTTAAGTGATACTTACTATCAACATATACATTATTTTTCAACAAAGAATATTTACTACCGGTAAAAAAAGAACAAGTGTTTTAATAACCAAAGCGACTTGCTACAATATGACAATTATTGTTCATACGACCCTAACTTCACGAAGATAACTTCGTAGTCTTACTTTTGACTGTAGAGTTCTTCTTGCGAGGTTGCAAAACCGAGCCCTAAGGTTTGTCTTCAATCTGAGGAAGTTTGATCATATCTGCCTATCGCAAACAGGCTAAGGTGCTCTCTTTGGAAAAACAATGTTTTCTACAAACTGTTTTGATTGTTCATAAGACACTGTCTTCTAATTTGCCTCCCTATTTGAAAAGGAAACTTGTGCCTCGAACATCGGTTAGGAAACACTGTACTAGACAGGACGGCTTGCTTGAAATGCCGAGAGTGCGGCGTGAGACAGGAAAAAAGGGGTTCTCATACTTTGGACCCCAGGAATACAATACCCTTCCAAGAAATATGAAAAGTCTGTCATGTAATTCTTTTAAGGCCAGATTAAAGTTAGTTTAGTTTCGCCTACTGTTTGTACCGTTTGTAATTATTGTGTAAATGTATTGTGACTTGAGTTGTCTTAAAAACCAGTTTTGACTGAAGACCGCTTTAAATAAAGGCATTTTATTATTATTATTATTTTAAGCAACATAAAGCAGTGCTCAATTGTAAAATTTCATTATTGCAAAGCTATTTTTTTAACCCTTAGTCCCTTAGTCTGAGTCAGTCAGGTCATAATATTTTATACATTTTTATTATTTAAAAATTATTCTTAAAGAGCATTGAATGTTTTATCACAATGTTACTAAGATCTGATAATTTTACTTGATTAATCACAGGGGCTCTAAAAATAAGAAATTAAGTGTTCTCTGGGAATATTTTCTAAAAAGGAGGTACAGTATTGATATTCTTTAATTTATCTAAGTCTAAGTGCATTTCAATCATTATGAAACTACAAATTTTCATACAAACACTCCTTGTTCACATATATTAGTATTTACAATAAGAATATTAAAAAGTAACTCTGAGACTTTCATGCAAAATGCATAAAATACTAACAATATAAAGAATAAAAGCAGTATGATTGAATTATAGTAAAATTGGTCACCTTAAATTAAATCTAACCTTAATTTCAAAATTTCAATATATAAAAATCAACGGTCCATTCTTTATAAGTACACTCAGTTTTTTTATTGTCATGTTTGGCAACTTATTTCCAAATAATTTTGTATATATTGATGAATGAGATATTTTAAATGCAATGAAATAGTGGTTCATGTCTTCAAGGCTAATAACAACACACAGGCTTACCATTACATCAGATTTATTTATAAACATTTATATCAATTATACGAAGAATATTACCTCAAAACCATTTCCTTTACTGTCAAAATATGGTTACTAGTATTTTTAATGCACAATGAACAAATCAATTGTTTGAGTGTGTTAGTTAACGTACAATATGCCAATATACCATCAACCAGTGAAACAAGAGAAATGTCCCAATGATGTGTTATGTTATCCCTTCACCGGAACCATAGTCTCATCCTGTGTTGCCACAAGTCATATAATGGCGCAAGAAGAATGTCAATCAATCGGTTATGGAGATTTCATGCACAAATGTACTCGTCCAATTAAAGAATGTTACTGGTGGAACATTTTAACTTTAATTTTAAGTGAGATACTATGTTTATTACACGCAAATAATGCTTTCTAATGAATATTAGTAAATATATTAAAGTACTAATTTCTTAAAGCTTCAAGATTTTCAAATTCCAGTTTACAAGTTTTATATCTGATATATCCATCAATTATAGCATTGACATGTCTTGAATGAGCACAAATGTACCATGTATATTTTTATTTACAAAGTAATCTCATTCAAATGCATCTTGCACTACTAAATCGTATGTCCTAGTCTAAGAAATTTTATGTCCTAATCCTGATCTTACATTCCTTTGGGCATTTTAAGTTATTCTGAGGTGAGGCTTTAAAAGTAGAATCGGAAGTAAATATTGATAGGTTTCCATGACATTATACTGTATATTTCAAAACCTGCAGTGGTTGTGTACTGATATTTACACTACCATGACATCTGAAATGAGCAAACAAGAATATTTCATCTACTAAATACAACAAGTAAATTTGTTTTTCGACTGGTCAAAAAATAGATAAATATCTAAAATATGGCATTATGGATATTTTAAAACACACTTGATTTTCACCACCGTATATTGTTTCTAATCATGAGTAATAACGTAATAATTAAACACTTGTAAACAAAATATACAGCATATAAACTCTTCCAAAAAATGTTGTTAATTTGTATGAATTTAAAGTTGTATAGTTAAGAGTAAGTTTACCTTCTTACGACGCATTACGGTTGGTTATTTTCTTTGTCAGCGACTAATATAAATGCCATTATCGAGGATAGCATATCTTGTTATTAATCTTTCATCCATCGAGGACGATACTAAGTGTGTTTATGTGTGTGGCGAGTATGTCAATTAATAACTTTAAATAATGGAGTACTAATTGAGATCACCACTAATGATTGTCTTTAGTGTCCTCTAGTGGCTTCTGGTATTTTACTAGTGTTGTTGGACGTTACTACGGAGTCCCATTAGCCGAGACAATTAGTCCACTAGTACAAGTTGAAGCCACTAATATCCCTCCAGAGTCTAGAGCAGTGGAGGGTTTGTTAGCAGAGGAGTGTAGTGGCAAAACGTGTATACAACCGAATTAAAACCGCATTTCAATGAAATAGATAAAAATGAAAATAATCTGGGACATTTTGCATAATCCTACTTATGACATATTACTTATAAAAATTTTTAAGCGAATGGACATAGCACACAAACTTCATATAGTGAGCAATTTTATATTGTAGAAAATATTGTAATCCATCAGTACATAACTAGAGAAACATTTCAAAAATAGTCTTAACAACCAAACAGTCACGATTTACTTAAAATTGGTGGGTGCTTAAAATTGTATTTACTTTTAGAACTGTTATTTGTCATGCGAAAAAAATTTTATTTGTTGCAAAAGTAAATAAACCCTTGTTTTTCTTATTTTTACACGAATAATGCAAACATTCAAAATTATTAAGTGCTTATTAAGTATTTTGCGTATTGAACGGGTCATATTAGACATTAAATTTCCAAGTGTAGTTAAAAAATGAAGTTTATTGGCTACCTGAATT